GGAAACAAATCAAAAACAGATTCACTGGATCTACACCATGGTTATCAGACCAATGATAACCTATGGCTCTGTAGTATGGTGCGGCAAGGCGAATCAAAAAGGGGTTCGAGCCACACTTAGCGGACCACGCCCACAGCAGTAATAGAAGTCTTCATAAATCTGACTCCACTTTACATATACGTGAAGAGGAAAGCAGCCAAAGGGAACCAACTTTGGTTTGCCCTTCAAAACAATGATTCCCGACAGAGAGCTATGGGCCAGCGACAGGACCCAGCTACTGAGGGCAGATCTCTGCCTATACATAGATGGCTCCAAAACTAAACAGGGTGTCGGAGCAGGGGTATATGGTGAAAAACCAAGGCTGGGAATTTCGGCCAGCCTTAGCAAAAACGCATCCATATTTAAGGCCGAATTGTTGGCCATCGAGCTTGGCGCGAAAAAGCTGGTGGAAAAGCAACAAACTCACAAGTCGATAAAAATATTTTCTGATAGCGAAGCTGCGCTAAAAGTACTGACATCCTTACATTGCACGTCGAAAACAGTATGGAACTGCCCTGACCCAGCTAGGGGAAAAAACAACGTTTCACTAGTCTGAATACCGGGACATACCGGCCAAGGAGGCAATCAAAAAGCGGACCAACTTGCAAAAGCTGGATCCGAGCTTAACTTCATTGGAGCGGAGCCAGTACTGGGAATAGCCCCGAATAGGGCTAATCCACAATCTCGACCTGGGCAACACAGAGGCGAAACAATATTGGTCGAGACTAGCAGGCATGAACCATGCAAAATCCTTTGTACCCTGTCCCAAAGGGGCCAAAGTGGCAGGCATGCTTCTGGGAATGGGGTGGAGCAGCCTCAAAGCACTGGTGGGTCTGCAGTCTGAAAACTGCAGACTTCGATATCACATGCACAGGATCAGAATAGCACAAAGTCCAAGTATCGCCTATGCATGGAAGAAGAGGAAACTGCAGAACATGTCTCATGCACGTGTCCGACAATAGCCAGAATAAGGCATGATGTTTTCGGGGAGTCAACTGTTCGACCCGAATGTATAAAGCATGCTTCCCCCACACTTATCTCCACTTTCATAAGAAGGGCTGGAATGATGGGGGAAATAGAAACTCGGAGTGAACCACAATAGACCGCAGGTCGCACTGGAAGGGCCGACAACGAACCACTCACAAGAAACCTATCCTAACCTAATCTGCCTTATCAATGTTACCGGCATAATTAACTGGCCTTACTTAATGGCTGAATTCGGCTTTGCACTCCACGGAGCGGAACGGTATGAGCATGGATATCGTGAGGTCATAGGCGGTCATAAACTGAACGCAAAAGAGAACACTCTGAGAGCTAAAACGAACAGGATCTAATCGTTTCGAGTGCGCTCGTAGCTCACCGAGTGTACAGCCGAACTCAGCCAATAAGATGTCTTTAGGACATGTCACTCTTGCCAGTCCTGCCAAGATTGCCTCTGGATTAATGTTACTTATAATTATTAGATAATTTGTGTTAGTGCAGGCCTAGTTCATTCTATCAAATTATCACATGGCGCAGTCGAGTCTTCCAGTGGAAGTGAAATAATAACTAATAGATAAAAATATGGCTTCAAAAGTCGTTCAAAAAAGTTGGTGCACTAAAGTATAATTTTAGTAAGTTTTCATTATGAAAAATGGGAGGAAGACTTCCAGATTCTATGAAATTTGAAGGAAACTTCAACAAAAATTTCAAAAGGTTCCTACAAAACTTCGAGACATACATGATAGCAACAGAGAAAGAGGGCAAACCAGACAAAGTAAAAATTGCAATGCTTTTAAATACAATTGGAAGTGAAGGTGTTGAAATATTCAATATATTCAATTCTGTTTTGCCTGAAGAGAAAAATATGATGAAGTTATAGACGAATTTAAAAAATACTGTGCACCCAGAAAAAACAGGACCTATGAGAGGTTTGTGTTCAATAATCTAAATCAAGAGGACAAGATGAACCATTCGATCATTTTTTCGTGTGATCTTAGGAAACTGATACAGTCCTGCGAGTATGATTCCCAAGAAAATTCTATTTTTGTTGATAGAATCATTATTGGAACAAATGATTTAAGAATTCAGGAAAAATTGCTAAACAATCAAAACTTATCGCTACATGAAGCCACTGAATGTAGAAATGTAGAAGTAATAAAAAAACGGATAGAAAAAGTTAGAAACAAGGAAGATTCAAGTGTCAATGCACTTGTAGAGGCTTTGAAAAAAAAAAAAGAATCAGGAATCAGCGGCATCAAATAGAGAAAGGGAACACAAGAATACAGAAAAAAATTTAAGTGCTCTAAATGCGTTAACATCCATGCATATGGAATATGCCCAGCCTTTGGAAAGAAGTCTCACAGGTGTGGCAAAATGAATCACCTCATAAAAGCTTGCAAAACAAGAATACAACTGATAAGAGAAATCTCTCAACAGAAAGAAACAGGAGACCTTGGAGAATTATTCCTTCGTCAGTGTCGTAAAAGTGAGAGAAGTAAGAAAGGACACACAGTATGGATGGAAGTAGTAAACATAAGTGGCAAAGAAGTTAAATTTAAGGTTAAATCTGAATCAGAAGTTGATATCGTGCTAGAGCGAGTACTTGAACAATTAACTACTGACAATTTGGCTAAGACTGGTGTAATTTTGGAGGCTTATGGAGGTACTAAACTGTAACTGAATTAAATTGAACTGTAAACTCAAAAATAAATCGGTGGATTTGGAATTCTTGGTACTAGATTTAAACGTGAAACCAAAAATTGGACTTCCTAGCTGCTATGAATTAGGCTTTATCAAAAATACATGTAGTATACATACAATCTCAAATTCAATCTATGCAAAATAGAGAGAAATTCATTAAAAAATATATTGATGTATTTAAAAGGTTAGGGTCTTTTTCAGAAGAGTGTGAAATAACATTAAAAAAAAGGTAGCATTCCTGTTGCTAGGCCTTGTAGGCGAGTAACTTTAGTCATAAAAAACAGATTGAAAGGTCAACTTTAAAAATAAAAATATAGAGAAACAGAAAATTATTGTTAAAGTAGACGGTGCTAGTAACTGGGTTAATCCACTAGTAATTGTTGAAAAACCTAACAAAACCTTACGCTTGTGTCTGGATCCTCAAGAACTAAATAAATGTATTGAACCAGAGTTTTTTGAAATACCTAGTTTGGAGAAAACTAGTAGCAAACTGGCAGGAAAGCAATATTTTTCTGTTCTAGACTTCAAAGACGGGTTTTACCAAGTTAAAGTTTGTGAAGAATCGAGAAAAATCATGACATTTTCAACTGAATTTGGCTATTATAGTTTCTGTAGGCTGCCATTTGGCTTAAATTTAGCTCCTGAATATTTCCAGAAAATAAATTTTAAAAATTTTGGTAACATAAAAAATACAATAATATATAGGTATTTTGATGATTTATTAAGTGCAACAAATTCTGTGGGAGAACATGATGGGGTTTTAAAAAGAGTGTTAATAGATCGTGCTAGGGAAAAAGGAATCAAATTCAATAAAGGCAAAGTTCATTTTCGAAAAAATCAAGTAAAGTATTTGCGTCATATTTTTGATGAAGACGGTATGAAAGTTGATGATGAAAAAGGGAGAGCCATTATTGAACTAAAACACCAACATTCAAGCATTTAAAAAGTTTTCGCAACATTTGGCATTCCAAATATTGTAATCTCAGAAAATATGCCTTATCCTTCTTATGAATGTAAACAATTTGCAAAAGACTTTCAGCTGTATACAACAGCCTCTTTTAACTTAAAAGCGCTTTTAAAAACTGGTCACTTTTAAAAATGTGTATTTTAAGCCATACAAATTTTTAAAGGTACCAGTTTTAATAAGCGCTTTCAAGTTGAAAGAGGATGTTGCAAAGAGCTGTTTGATTTTATGTTTAAAGGTTTGTTCAGACAAACAAGAACATGCTGAAAAAAGGGTGCGACATAGAAGTTGCTCTTATGGAGTACACCTCTCACGGGCCATAAGAGAACCCCAGCAGAACTGCTTCGCGAAAGTTAAAAACTAAATTACCTATAGATAGGTAGACCCAAATCTCCTATCGGTGATTTTAAGAAATTAAAAATGCTAATGCATAATCGTGCTTGGCGTATACAAAAGCACTGCTGATCAGACGATTGGTTAATAGGCCAGGCACGCAATTGGAATAGGTACCTGCCCACAAGTGTAATATTCAGTATTGGGATAAATTAAAAATTATCAGCTATTTAGACACTGCCACCAATAATTTGAAACACGTTGTACCATCTTAATTTATACTTTGAAGCCAAAATTTTTTTTATTCCGAAATATTTTTATGTAAGTACCTACTAAACCATATCTCGGAAACGAACCATTTCCCGACCCAAGTTCATAAAAGAGATACGGAACCCGCTCCTAAAAGGTTTACGTTTACTCCTATTACATCCTGAAGAGGTATAATATACGTTTAATGTTTTATGAACCTAATTCAGGATGTCATTCGACTAAAATAGTTGTAAATTTTCTCAAAGCAACTTGATCCACCAGTATGTGTCAGCGCCTTAAGTCCGCTCTTTGATAAAAATCCCTCTTTCATATACACTTATCATTATAAACCTAGGACTTCACTCAACTATGCATACGGTTTTTCTTGAGATACGATGACCCTCAGGATATTCATTTTAATATCATTTGCCTGCGGTTATGAAATTTCTTTTCATAGGACATTATTTACGTGACGTGGTCTGTAAAAGGCTGAAAAGAATTTTCTATATGGCCGTGTCGTAAAGAGAAGACCTAAACCGAGAGAGATTTGAGTTTTTGCAAATAAATGTTTATGGATGATCGTTCTATATTCTAATTATAACAAGCATTTTTTGTTTTCAGTGTTTAAAGTTAAAAGTAAAATACAAAATATAAATTGGCTATTTCGTCAATTTTCCATAGCTATAACACTGAAAACAATTACAGTATATAACGTGCTAATGGAAAAGATTACCTAATATCACCAGCCAGCGCCACAAATCCCACTTAACGGCATTTTCGAGGATAGTGAAAATTGCTTTTTGGCTGACATTTACTTCCTCTGTCAGGGTCCTGGCCAGGACGTCCAGTTCGTGTGTGGACTTGTAAACGTCGGTTCGTTTTCGGCTTAGCAGCGATTTAATGTCTAGAAAAGCGAAAAATAAACTCTAAAATGTCCACGATGAAGCTGTCCAGATGTGTTTAGAGCTTAAGTGAATTTTCAAAATGTTATTCATGTAGCTTTCTAAAAGAGCTGACCAGTGGCGACGCCAGGGTTTTACGTTAGGGGGGGCCAGGCTGGGCCAGAAAAAATTAGGGGGGGCACTTGTTCTTACTTTATTGCTTTTCTTCTTTGAAATAAAAAATGGGAATTGCAAAGTTTACCCGTATATTTTTGCACTCCACCTGAACAGCTTAATTGAATGTATCAAAAAGGTTTTTATTTGGATTTTGTATACAGGGTGTCCGTTTTTCGAGGGAAACCATTGGAATATAGGAAACGGTAAGAGATAAAAAATCAGAATCGATGGCCAAATGTGTTTCTGCTTTTGGGAGATCAAGAAACTCCGAATACAATTCATACAAATGCAAACCTCTATTTTAAAAAATAAAGTTGATCATGATCGGCAAAAGACGAAATCTCGGATGTCAAATTTGGTTACACCATTATGTAGAGGGGAGAAAGTTGCCCCAATAAAGTGAAGTTTATTTGAAATACCTTTACAAATGAGTCCAGGAAAATATAGAAATGATTTTACAAAATTTTGATTTCCATGTATCTCCGGAAGTATTCGGAATTTTCCAAATTTCGAAGTAGCGTTTTGTTAAGCAAGAAATTGCGCAACTTTGTCCCAATTTAACCGAACCTGTATCTCTTACCGTTTCCTATATTGCAATGATTGCTCTCGAAAAACGGACACCCTGTATATAGGTAAATCTTCTTGATACCTATTCAATTAACCGTTCAGGGTCGGATTCTCGATAGCTAGTCCAGGGTAAACGTGTCCAATTGCAATGTTTACCCTGGAGTTATGGTTAACTGCTCTGACCCGGGGTTGACTTGCTTGCTATTGAGAAACCTTCAGGTGAGGTGCCAAAAATATACAGGAAAACCCTGTACCTTGTCGACACAAATATGTTTGGAGAAATCCCAGAAAAGCGAAAGCATAGTCGCGGTTGCCTGGCGCCCACCAAATATCAAATTAACCAGAGAGCAGAGGTTACTCATGTTGCATTGCATTGTTGTCGACATGAGGGCAAGTTTTCAGGGGGGGCCAGCTAAATTTCAGAGGGGGCCCCAGCCCCCCCCTGGCCCCCCCCTGGCGTCGCCACTGGAGCTGCCCCCCGGTTGACCTACATTTATATATAACTTGTAAAAAAATGTTTAAATAATTATTCCGAAATGATATTATACATTTTTGCAACATAATCTGATTTTCACACAAAAATATTATTTCCAACTAGTCGCATTTTTATTCCAAATATAATTTTTCCTTGCCAAAAATTTAAAAATCAAATCGAGTTCGGCGAAAATAGATGTTTGCATGAACTGAACCCGAATTCCACCAAAAGTGGGTGCCATCACCCACCCAAATTCCAACATAGTTTTCAATATTTCCCAATCACTCGCAGCCATAAAACGTGGCGCAAAACAAAGAAACTTCTTTCTTTGTTTGAATAAAAACTCTAAATTACCTGCAATATACGCTGTCGACTCATGAACAAGTTGCCCCGGAATATTCGAATATCTCTTTCGGGCTGCGTCAATGCTCTTGTTCAAAGTGTCGTTTTTTTTTATACGATCGAGCTCATGGATTTTCGAATCGGTCGTTAACTGTAATAAGAGAAAATAAGAGATTTAGTTATCAAAAACATGTCTACGTAGTTGTTGGTAATTTGGCTTGTTCTATTTTATTGATGACGTGCTTTTCGGTCACAAAGCCGACTGCGCCAGTTCAGTTTGTTATTTGGAAAATACGGGGTTTGAAAAATTATTTCAAAAACTACAATTGATCCTAACTCAAGCAAAGTTTGGTGAAGAATAACAAATAATTTCGTTTACACCTATATTTATTTATTATAATGATGTTGTCAAAAAAAAAACTACTACAGTAGACAAAACCTTTAAATTCATCATATTAGTTAGGTTAGAATCGCAAATTGGCGCGGGTTCCTAGTTCAAAAATTAATACATTGATGTCTTATGGGGACTCAATTTTAAAAGCGTCTGTAGACGTGATAGAACGTTTGTAACGGAATTGAGTTGTATAAATAGTTTTTTTAATATGTTAATTAACTGAGAGAGTGTTTGAAAGTTGAATAAACATTGTTAAAATAAAAATATTACCAATTTAAGAGGCCGATGTTTGTATAAAATACGTATGTCGTTGCTTGATCCATAAGTATATATGAGTACCTAAATTATAATAAAATAAAAGTTTACCTACATACTTGGTTAGTAAATGTACTTCAATAATCCAAAAAAATTGAAAAATAAATGACTGAACTAGTGATAAATAAATAAATAAACAATTCACCAACAATCATAACACAATAACACACAACCTCACTTTCTCTCAGCTGGTTTTAGACCCGACGTACGTCCACCGAAAACAGACAATTTTAATTAAAATCATTTGTATTTTTAATTCATAGGTCTAAAAAAACAATTAGAGCATGAATTATAGAGAAATATGTTCAAAGTTTGACGTACAATACTAAGAAATGCCCAGAACCCACGATATTCCCGTCGGAAAATCACTCTTTTGAATCCCCCATAAGAAATACATTGCTGTCAAATTTGTTGAAATGTGTTTAGGAACCCATTTTAAATTTCGCGCCCGATTTTTCCTAACCTAACTAATATGGTGAATTGAAAATATTTAAGGTTTAAAGTCAGTCCTATAGTTCATTGCAGCAACGCGAGATGTCAGTACTGTCGCCCCTATAGTGTTCCCTAACTTGATAGTCAAAAAAAAAATAGAAATCTGCATTTGGTTAAATTGTGTGATGGAAAGTTTTTTCTTTTTTTTGCGGAAATTCGGAGTATTATTCTGTTTTACATAAACAGGGTTGTAGTTTGGACCAACACAAATAATTTTGAATGTTCATCCGTCGGATTTATTTTTAAACAGTGTAGCTACAGGCGTATTTCCAACTATTCTTGCAGTAGCGAGAAAACTACAAGTTCAAAAAATTTGAAAAAAATATATGTCGCGTAGAATTGCAATAGTAGTTCGTAATAAAAATAACGGGAAACTTCATCTATTCGTTTTGAAATAAATGGTGAAAAAACACTTTTTTTTCAGTTTTTGCGATATAACACAAAAACGGCGAGTCAAATTTGCTTAAAAAAATTATGGATTAAAGTATATTAATAACCATAAAACATATATTTTTTTTGGAATTTTTGAACACAAGGTTCAGAAAATGGGGGTTGACTTTAAACCTTAATATTATTTACATATACTTTTATACAAAGTCAAAATAAAATAAATATAAAAATAAACAAATTACCTACCTACAATAATCCAGTGTGTAGAACGCTTTACTTTACTTTATTTAAGGCTCTCTCGAATAAATAGGATTTTAGAGCTACGAGGAACTCTGGAAGAGACGCTATGGACTTGATTACTACTGGCAGATGATTGTACATTTTTTTTGCGTTGTAGAGAACGGAGCTCTTAATTAACTCGGAGGATGGAGTTGGCAAATAAAGATCATGTTCCGCGTTTCTAAGTGGATAGGTGCAATGGCCTTTCTGAAATACTGGGTAGGTATTCGCGGATGGAGCAGTCTGATTCTAATATGATTAAAGGAAAGAAGTGTTAATAGATAAAGTGTTTCATTCGGGCTTAATGGCCGTCGTAAGTTGGATATTCTTCCTGACGTTTCGGTAGCACGCGTGGCTAGCATCTTTAGAGGTGCTTCTATGTGCGATTCTGGTAGCAGACTGACGCATTTCCGACCATAAGTTTCATCAATGTGTGAGTGGCTGTGGTGGGGAAGGGGCGGAGCTTCACAGCACGTGGCTAATTTCTCTGTACCTCTGTACTCAACAGTTGTATTCCTGTCAAGAGTTTAAAACACTAGACCTACTCGCTCCAGTGTTAGTCGACCCCGATTTGAAAGGAACAGATGCGCTGGCTTCCGTGCATTCAAATGGTTTAATTCGGGCTTGGGCGCTTTAGGTGCAACAGACACTTTTCGAAAGGAATAAGCACGTAAAGCACCAGAGCTGTTCCGGAGCACCTCCTAGGTGTGAAAGGAATACAACTATAGAGACCTTTCTTGCGTTTTTGAAGATCGGGTTCCAGATTTGTTTTAGTTTTAGTGTTTCTTCTTTCCTCTTGAAGTTCTCCGTATGTTTGTGGATTTCTATAGCTTCACGTACAAGGTGTTATCTAGAAGTCGGTGCAAGAAGCTTGACCTGACCAAAGAGTATTTCGGGTTTCCCTTCACTGAGCGCATGTTCCGCTACTGGCAATTGTCCTAGTATGCAGTTTCTTTTGTGCTCATTGATCCTAGTTCCCATGGATCTTTTTGTTGTTCCTATGTATACCTTACCACATGTATCCATTTGATAGAAAAACCAACTTGGGGTGATCCAGTTCCTCAAATGTTCCAAGCACGTTCCGTTAACGTTGGTATCATTCCACGTTTTTACCTTGGATGGTGGTTCGAGAGTCTGTGTGTAGGTTTTTGGTAAACTGTGTGGCTTAGTTTTCCCCCAGATTTCTTTATGAGCACATCTAAGAAGGCGATTTCTTGGTTTCTCTCCTTTTCCATGGTAGATTATATGCTAGGATGTTGCGCATTCAGGTGGCCTAGGAACTGGTTAAGTTTCTCTTCCCCATGACTCCAAATCCCAAAGGTATCATTTACGTATCGAAGCCAAACCGTTGGTTTGTGGTCAAAAGATTCGATAGCGATGAAGAAGCGATGCAAGATATTTCGCTAGGTTGCACCTTGGTGCTCCAGGTGCACTGGGGCACTGTTTGTCTCAGCAGGACTTCAGGTTTGTGAATTTTGAGTTAGTCGTAAAGTCGTGGTGGAACCGCTTCTGTTTTCATGATGCCTCTCTTTACTGTGCCTATTAGGGTAGATGACCTAATCACTTTCGGAGTATGGCCTGGGTGGGATCCTTCTTTAGCTTTCGCTAGGTAGATGGATCGAAGAGTTCCTGAACTTTCCGGTTGTAGTCTTAACAGGACAGTTGCGTTGCCCTTATCCGCAGGTAGGATGATCATATCTTCCGCTGAATTCAAGTTCTTAATTGTTATAAGTTCCTTCTTAGAGACATTACTGGTTGGTGGTCGAGCCTTTGGTAGAATGTTGGCTGTCTTGATACGGATTTTTTCTGTTTCCACATCAGGAAAAACTCTGATGGCTGCTTCAGTGCTGGCTATAATCTCCGCCATTGGCAGGTGTTGTGGAGTGATTGCGAAATTACCGCCTTTTGCTTAGCCGGCTGTTTCCTCTTCGGTAAGGACTCGGTCCGTGAGATTGATGACCAGTCAGGATTTGTCAGGCGCTGTAGAATTTCGGATTTGTTTCTTAAAGAACTTCTCGTATTTTACTCCGATTTAGCTCATTATCCATGTTTGAGTATGAAATGGTATCAATTTTATTCCAATCTTTTGCCTGTACGTTGCTGCTGAGCGTCAGATGTAGATAAAGTAGTTCTCTATCTACTTCAGCCAGATCGTTTCTTGTTTTGTGGATTTGCTCTCGGAGAAATGTTTATTCAGTTCTGGAGTAGATACGATGTGCTTGGGGTGTCTTAAGAGAGCGCTGAATCTGCAAGAACGCTGGTACTATGTCAGCGACAGAGGAATGTTAGATTCGCCAATAAGTGTGCCTTGCGTCGTCTAACTTTGTCTAGTCGACGGTACTGTCTGATGGAGTTTGTGAGGCTTTCGCGGCCCAGGTTTATTGATAAAGTGTTTCCGTTCGGGCCTAATGGCCGCCGTAAGTTAAAATTTCTCCCTGACGTTTCGCTAGCATGCGAGGCTAGCATCTTCAGAGCTGCTTCCATGTCCGATTCTGGTAGTAGACTGACGTGTTCTCGACCGTAAAATGTATTTCTCTGTAAGTGGCTGTGCTGTGGCGGGGTTTCACAAAACGTGGCTAACTGATTGGGTAATCTACCCTAACAGGCACAGTTGAGAAATGAATCATAAAAACAGGAGCGTCTCCACCACGACTCTACGGCCGACCCAAAATTCACAAACCTTCTCGTTAAGACCCATAGTGAGTGCACCTGGAGCACCAACGTACAACCTAGCCAAACATCTTGCATCGCTTCCTCAACCGCATGTAGGAAAAACTAGCTCTTACGTCAAGGACTCCACTCACTTTGACCAAAAAATTAGAGAGATTATTCTCCAACCTAAGGATATCCTGGTCAGCTTTGATATCATGTCATACAACAGTTTTGTGGAAACACAGGGATGCTTCAGTTCTAGCACGCGTTGTAGAACAAGACCTGGGTATCGTAAAGGATTTAAAATTTGAACACCATATCCAAACAATGAATAAAAAACTTTCGTAAGCTTGCTGTATTGTTAAAAGCATACGGCAGGATAGATTCCCAAATCAGATATGGAATCGCATTCTGGGGCTATGCTACTTTAAGAAATGTGCAATCTGTTTTTGTCTTACAAAAAAGAGCCGTGAGGTATCTTTGCCAAGTTGACTGTAGGAAGAGCTGTAAACCACTTTTTATACAAGAAAATATTTTGACAGTACCAAGAATATTTGTTTTGGAAACAGCGTGTCTTGTGTTTGAGAGATTCCAGGGTTTTGAAAGAAATTCTTTGCATAACTTGCGAA